GTACAACTCATTTTTGAAAAAGATACAAGATAATTTTATTGAGAAAGGATGATCTTTTCAACAAGTGGTCCTGACACAGAAATAACTTCAATTCATGCTGTGTATCATATGTAAAAATTAACTCAAAATGGATCATAGACTTAAATATAAGAGCTAAAACTTTAAAACTTTTAAAAGAGTATGGGTTAGACAATTCTTAGATACTATCTCAAAGCATGATTCTTAAGAGAAAAAATTGATAAATGGCTCTTCATCAAAATTAAGAAGTTTTGTTTTGTGAGAGACACTGTTAAGAGAATGTAAAAACAAGCCACAAACTGGGAGAAAATATTTTCAAACCATGTATCTGATAAAGGTCTTATATCTAGAGTATATGAAGAACTCTCCAAACTCAATAAGAAGACAGACAACCCACTTTTAATTTAAAAGGTAGGGGGAGCAGAAGATTTCAAAAGACACATCACCAGAGAAGATGTACAGATGGCAAATAAGCATATGGAAAGTTGCTCAACATCATCTGTCATTAGGGAAATGCAGATTAAAACCACAGTGAGATACCACTACATGCCCATTACGATGACTAAAATTGCACAGTTTAAAAGGCTGATAAAACTAAGAGTTGCTAAGGATGAGGAGCAGCTGGATTCTCATACACTGGTAGTAGAATGTAAAATAGTAGAACTACTTTGGAAAGCAATTTGTAAGTTTCTTTAAAGAAAATCAGTGTATGATCCAGCCATTCCATTCATTGTTGTTTGTAATAGTCCCCCCTCCAAAAAAAAAATAGAAACAACACAAATATCTATCAAAAGACAAATGGATGAACATAGTCATGTGATGGAACACTACAGAGCAGGAAAGAGAAATGAACTATTATAATGCCACAACTTAGGTGGATCTCAACAATCATCCTGACTGAAAGAAGCTAGACAAATAAAGTATATACTATATGATTTTCTATAAGATTTTAGAAAATGAAAACTAATTTACAGTTACATAAAGCAGGTCAGTGTTTGCCTGGGGGCAAGAAGAAATTAAATTGAAATTGAATAAAGCAAATCAATGTTTGCCTGCGGGTAATGAGGTTGAGATTACAAAAGGAAATGAGATTTTTGTCAGGGAGATTGTAGAGTTGTATCTCTGGTACCTATGAATGTGTCTTTGTTTAGAAGGAACATCTATGAAGATATAATCAATTTAAGATGAAGTCATACTGGTTTAGGGTAGGCTCTGATCCAGTG